CCTGCCTCAAGCCCCATGCTCCTGGGTCCTGAGCCCCAGGTCACCAGTGGCTTTTCCTGGGGGTCTCCACAGCCTCCTCCCGGCATCTCCAGCTGTCCCCCTCACCCGGCTCTCCAAGCAGTTGTTTGCCCCACAATTCTTCCAGCGGCACTGAGCATGTTAGTGCAGAGAGTGGGGGCGGGGAGGAGGGAGGAGGCCCAAGGAGAGGGTGGGGCGAAGGCTCCAGGGAACGAGACTTAGTGGGTCCCACCAGACCAAGGATGGGGAGGAGGTGGGCTGCGGGGGGGCCTTTGATGGAGAACGACGGCTGGGCAGGGCAGAAGGGTCTGTCTGTGCCCGGGCAAAGGGGAGTGAAGAGGCAGGAAGGCAGAATCCAGGCCCAGGGCACCTGCAACCTGGCCTGCTCAGCAGGGGCGGCCGCACCTTGGGGTGAGGAGGATTCAGGGAGCCGACTCTATGGGCATGGCTCTGAAAGGCCCTCGCTGGCGGGAAAGGAGGACACTTCTGCCCAAGAGCTGGCGAGTGGTGCCAGGTGGGAGAGGCGAGGCTGCCACTTTTGGGCAGGCAGGGCTCAGACTCCTTGAGATCTCCTGAGGGGTCGGGTTCAAAGGGGTGGTACCTGCCGAGGCCACATGGGGGGAGATGAGCTGAGGCTACTCCAGGTGACTGCTGACCAGGAAGATGGCAGGAAGCCCTGGTGCAACGGTGGGAACACTGCCCCTCCCACCCAGGAAAGGCCTGGCCAGGCTGCTGGCGGCCCTGGGAAACCAGGACCTCTGGCCCCACAAGCTGTTGTTTTCCTGGCCATGGTGAAATAGAGCATCCCTCAAGAATATCAGCCCCTGGCAAATAAACACCAGCTGGTGCGGGCAGAACTCTGAAGAGGCTGCAGTCTGCACCTAGCAGGGCCCCTCGCCTGGGGGAAGTGTGACCAGTGCAGCCCGCCATGAGCACCAGGACACAGGCACCCGGGGGGCTGTCTGTGGATCAGGGCAGAGGCCCAGCCAGGAGCCACTGCCAAGGCTCACTCCCCGGGAATGTTGGGTGTTTCCTGGCTCCTAAATTAGAACACGTGTCTGGGGATACAGCCGACCCACCTTGACCCCAACCCCCACCTTGGTACTTATAACCAGGGCCTTGCTGCCCCCAGTGGCCACATCCAGATCCTGCAAGCCTCTGAGGTTCCCTCTGGCTTAGGCCAGGTCCCTGGGCAGCACAGTAGGACCAGGGCAGGCACTAGCTCCTCAGGTTAGGGTCCCCAAGGGTGTGTTGGACTCCAACACCAGAAGCACAAGTAGCACAGACAACTCCCCAGGCTGCCGCCTCCCTGCACCCTGAGGCTAGTAGGGGATTTGAGGCGTAGCCCCCTGTAGGAGTGGGAAAGACCACCTGTGTCTGAAGCAGGCGGGGCTCCCCACCCTGTGCCTACACTTTGCTTTGAGGAATGCGCATCTTATTGGAAAGGCTAAGTCCCCTCCAGACAGAGCACATGGCCTTCAGCTAAGGCTCTCCTGACCCATGCAGACTACTGAGGCTTGGCATGCGGCAGCTGGAATTGGAACTCAGCTTCTCCCTCTGCCTCCCCGCAGAGCTGTTCCTGTTCACACCCTCACACAACCTCCTTGGAAGGGAGGGGCTGCCGTAAGCTCAGCTGCACGGAGGGGGCCAGCCATGGGTCAGATGGACAGCGCCCTGAGCCGGAAGGGCGTTCCTGCTGGGGAGCACAGTGACTGAGGGTCTGAGCAGGAAGGTGGATATGGCCCTGTAGGCTTCTGATAGCATGTACTAACCACAAATCTCTCTTCCCCAAAGCAGTGTCCAGGTCACTCACTGGAGCCCCTGCCCAAGACAGGAGACCTCACAGGTCTAAGAAGGCTGCCGAGTCAGGGCAGGGCTGGTCTATCGCCCACCCTTTCTCAGGGCTCCACCTGCCCAGGGTCCCATCACCCCACCCCCCTGTAGGTTCAGAAGCTCCTCCCCCTGCCCCAAGCCTGGAGGAGACTCTGGTTGCTTCCACAGCACTCGAGACACTCTGCTGGACAAGAGATCATTGATCAGGACTGAAGTAGCTTCCCAGAAGAGCCAGCATGGGGTTGTGGGAAGCCCAGCCAAGCAGAACTCGGTGGCACTTGAGCTCTGGCTCTGCAAGCTCCTGTGGCGCTCAGAGAAGGCGCTTAGGTGAGATGCGCTGGTGTCACAGGCCGTCACGCTCCTCTCGGGGAACTGCTCCTCTGTATGAACTCTCCAGACTGACTCTCACGGATTGATGGAGCCTCTGATTTAGGGCAAATAGAACATGGTGTTGTAGATTCATTTACCTCACAGACTGGATGGTGAATGCCCTGCTGCCCCTCTCCTGCCCCAAGACACACACGTGCCACACACACACACACACACACACACACGCACGCACGCACGCACAAGCTCCCAAGCACATGCACCTTTACTTGGAAAGACAGTTTCTACAGCACTGGAAGAGGGTCAGACGTGACAGGGGCTGGAAATAGCGGGAGGGGGGCCTCTCGGAAGTAAGGGTCTGAGGTGAGGATCAGAAGTGACCCTCCTGGGTCTTCCTGGCAACCTGCAGCCTCCCAGTCTCATTCACACCTGCAGTGCCACCCATTTAACTCTAGTAGGTGGTTCTTTTCTGGGGGTGCCTAGGAAATACAGATGCCCAGGCTCACCCCTGAGAATCTGGTTCCCAGGTGGAACAGGGAGATTCCAGAGCAGGAGCACCAGGCTTCCAGAGGGACTGGGGCAGACGCCGGAGGAGGCTGGAGTGAAGCAGCTTGTTATTACAGTTTGGATCTGGGATGTCTCCCAAAGGTCATGTGTGCAGTTTGGTCCCCAGCTGGTGCACTGCTGGGAAGTGGTGGGAACTTTGGGAGGTAGGCCTAGCTGGAGGAAGTAGGGTACGGGGGGTGCTCTAAAGAAAGTATTAGGACCCTGGCTTCTCCTTCTCTTTCTCTTTGCTTTGTGGTTGCTGAGGTGTGCAGTTTCTTTCCGTATTAGTTAACTTTTCGTTGCTGTGACCAAATGCTTGAGGAAGACAATTTAAAGGAGACAAGGTTATTTTGATTTATGGTTTCTGAGATTTCAGTCCCTGGTTGACAGGCTCCAAGCAGAAACATCAGTTGGCAGTTAGGAAGCAAAGAGAGGGAAAAAACCAGAGAAGAAAGGGCAGGAGAAGAAGATATACCCTTCACAGCCATACCCCAGTGACCACCTTACCCAGTTAGGTCCTAATTCCCAATAGGTCCATTAAACTATGAATTAATCATCAATAGATTAATCCACTGAAGTGAAAGCTCTTATGATCCATGCAGTTCTTCAAGTCCTATTAGCTCCTAACAAAGCCCTTAAAATAATGAGGTTTTAGGGGTGCATATTTTGAGACAGGGTCTCACTATGTAGGGCTTTAAACTTACTATGAGCCCAGCCTGGCTTCAAACTCACAATGATCCTCCTGCCTCAGCCTCTCCAGTGATGGGATTACAGGCATGCACTACCATACACAGTTTAGGGGTACATTCTGAGTTCCAACCCTAATTCTCTGCTATGCACTCTTTGCCATGATGTACTGCTTCACCCACTACAGGATCAAAGCTATAGGGTGAAGTAACCGTGGACCAAAACCTCTGAAACCTTGAGTTAAACCTTTCCTCCTTTTGAATTGTTTACCTCAGGCATTTTGTCATAGTGACAGAAAGCTAATATATGTCTACAGAATGGCAGTGTGCTGAGCAGTGGGTTCTCAAATCAGTAAAATTCCCATTGACAAGCATGCATAGACACTAGGAAGCCCCCAGGGGCCCAGGCTGCTCTGTCGAATGGTGGCCCTGACCTACGGGGTTGAGCCAGGAAATGGTACAATCCCTAGGAAGGGCAGGCGGGCAGGCAGTGGGCAGGGGATGGTGGATCTGGATGAGGGGACCAGAAGTGGGTGTCAGGGCAGCTGGGAGGGGTTTCTCCTGAGCTGGACAGCTCTGACTCTGCCAACCCGGATGAGGCTGCTGCCAGACCCAATTTTTGCTCTCTCTGTGGCTCCAGAGAGGGGGTGGAGCTGTTGGGTCTCCGTGCAACAACCAGGGGCAGAAATCAATAGATCGAGCTGGACTCTGGGATCCAGACAGCAAAGGCAGGGAAACTCCAACCCATTCCCAATCCAGGGCTCAGAGCCAAATCTCCTGGGAGCTACCCACTTCAGTTCATCAATCCCAACAGAGTCCTTCCCTTGAGGAGCTGAGGCAGGTGCGGAAGTGAGGCCTGTCCAGCACCTCACACACACCTCTCTCTCTGTGCTCTAGGCTTCACCCTTCTCTCTCTGCATCTTTGTTTTCAGAAAAGCTCTCCTCTACACTATGAAACAGAGACTGTAACCTAGCTCTCTGCCTCTGTTTCCCTACAGGTAGAATGCAGTTCCAGGTTTCCCTGTCTCCTTAGAACTTTAGGAAAGGGCTGGAAATTAGACAGAAGTTGGTAAAGAAACCTTGCCAGCAGTGGAACCTGCAGCCACCAGGAGGAACTAAGTTAAAGGAAGGAAGTAGAAGGGCAGATGGGTATCCAGCCTCAGGCTCAGGCCCACATGCTGGTTGGCTGGGTAGGAAGACAGGCTGCCTACTGGGGTCAGCCTGCTGGAAGGTGGCCAAGCCTGGCCAGGCAGGGTGCTCCCCATGGGTCACGGAAGGCTGCATCTGCTGTGTGCCTAGCTCTGCCAAGGGGGCTCACCTTGACCCTGGGGAGGGGGATGGACACAGGTCCTGTGGAGCTTTCCTAAAGACCCACCACCCTCTGCAGAGCATGCCAGGAACCTTCTTCAACAAGGGCCATGAACATGACCCAGTCCCCTGTGGACCCCTTTTCCAGATCCTTGTCCTCCTCTTGGGAGAGCTGATCCTCCCCAAAACAGGAGCGGGGGAGGGGTGGGAGCCTGAGCTGCCTCTTCCCTCGCCTCTTCCAGGCTCTTTGCAGCTGGCTCACCATGGTGCTCTGGCCACGATGCTGCCAAGTGTGCTCTGTGCCAGGGCGGAGGCTGGGCCTGGGCTTGGGGGAGGGGCTGGGAGCCCTGGTGCTGGTGTCTGACAGTGGCCCTGAAGCTCCTTTCTTGCCCTTTAGTGAGCCTAAAACTTTCTAGGGGAGGACCAGCTAGCCTTGCTGAGTTGTGAGGAGCAGTGGGGGAGGAGGGTGCCGGATCTGTTCCCCTTGGGGGCCCAGGACAGCACAATAGTCCTTGGGGCTGCCACTTTCTGGCTTAAGTGGTTGCCCAGGCAACAGCAGGGGCCAGTTTCCACCAATCCATGGCAGAGGCTGGGTGGGGGGAGGGAGGCCTGGCCGGAAGGGGGATCCGTCCCCTGTGTGAGATCCTATATAAGGAGAAGGGATGTGTTCAGAGTGGTCTGGCTGTCACTGTCCCTCCAGTGGACTTGGAGGTGGAGCACAAAGATGCTTAGGATAGGCCACTGCAAGCCTGGATCCTGGGGCAGCTTCTGGGCCACCCTGGCCCTGGTGGGCCTGGTCACTCGTGCAGGTGAGTGGGCAGTGGGCATGGTGAGGGTGCAGGGCAGGGTGGGAGTACGGGGCCGGGCGGGACCTCTCCGCCCTCATGCTCATGGCCAGTCCAAAAGAGGGTGTGCAGCAGCTTGGGACAGCACCCCACAGCTCCACAGACTCATCTCCCAGAAGGGAGGAGGGCGGCCTGCCCTGGTGGGGAGGAGGGCCTGGGCAGCAGCAAGGGTCTTAGCGACAAGCAGACCCTCCATTATCCATTGTCCCAGGCAGAGGCCGAATGGGGACGCCAGCCATCAGCATTCAGGTCTTTCAAAGTGACAGCTGGGGAGGCGGGGCTGGGAAATTCACCATCCACCTCTTGCCCTCCCTTTCTCCCGGGGTCTCCCTTTCACAGATGCTTGGCTCTTGTGTGAGCCTTCTCCCCACCTGTCCCCCCACCATGGCCTGTGCGTGCCTGTGTGCATGCGCCCATGTGAGCGTGTGGCTGGTGCCCATCTGCCACTGTCAGACACGTCCTTGCTCCCTCTGCAAAGCTCTTCACACTGCTCTCAGCTCAGGAGCCACCAGCAGCAGCACTCCCTGAGTTTTCTGTGACCAACACGCATCCCCGGAAGTATGAGGAGAGCCCTGCCTGGCTACCTGCAGAGGGACATTGTCCTTGACACCTAGTTCCCCCAAGGGTCCCACTCCAGCACTCGCTTGGCCTTGGGACTTTCTGTGGTCCCCAGCTGTCTCACAGATCCACAACCCAGGGCAGGGTGGGCCTGGAAGTCAGTTTCTCTTTCCATCCTGTCACCGGGCCTCCATTTAACTCTCTTCACCCATGCACTGCTCCACACAAACTCTCTTTGCAGGCCCAGTCCTCCTGCCCCTACACAGGATAATTCCCTGGCTGCCTGCTTTAAAACTAGGGTGCTTATTTATGTCCTTATTACCTGGCTGTTATGCTCATTTGTGCTTTCTGCTATGCTCATTTGTGCTTTTATGAGGGTAAAGACTTGGTTTATTTTGTCCACTGCCAAATTCCGGGCTCTTAGGAGAGTGTGTGGGACGTAACAGCAAATATTATTAACAGGAAATATTATTCACTCAATAAATATTTGTTAATGAATGTTCAACTTCTGACAATCCCTCTGAGTGGACAGTTGCTTAGGAAGCAAAAGGGGTAGAGACCAAGAGTGTCCTCAACCCTTGTCTGGCTGGGGCGGGGCTGGGGGTCTGGCTTTATGGACAACCATCCATAGAGACAAGAGCTGGTCAGTGACCTCTCCCTCATCCCTCCCAAGAGACTGCTGTCTTCCCTGCTCTCGAGAACGTCCTCTTGGATCTGCATCGGTATGTTCTGTCTGCCCAGAATGTGCCTGTGGGCACCCTCAGCATCCACACCACGTGGGTACACACAGGTGTGCACAGAGCTCCTTCCTAGGCCCTTCTGCCCTCCCCCCATGCACATATGGCTCTGGCTGGTTCCTCTGCACCCCTAAACCAAGAGGTTCCAGGCCCGGATGACTGTGCTCTGTGTGCTGTCCCTTCTGTTGCAGCGCAGAGAGCTGACATGGGCGGGGAGGCAGCAGGCACCTCCATCAACCACTCCCAGATGCTACTCCACCGCCTGCAGGAGCTGCTGCGGCAGGGCAATGCCAGCGACGTGGTTCTGCGCGTGCAGGCTACAGGCACCGACGAGGTCCGAGTCTTCCACAGCCACCGCCTGCTGCTGGGGCTGCACAGCGAGCTGTTCCGGGAGCTGCTGAACAACCAGAGTGAGGTGGTGCTGCAGGAGCCCCGTGACTGTGCTGCTGTCTTCGATAAGTTCGTCAGGTAGGAAGGGGAAAGGCTAGGGGGGCTGCGCCCCTTCCCCAGGCCCTGGCTCTCTACCTATTAGGTCACAGCAGCCTGGCCTTTAGCATCATTATGTCTGTTCACCCATGTCACTAGGACCACAGCACACCACATCTCCTTCATCCCTTCTCCTGTAGTCCTCTTGCATAGCGAGGCGTGGCTTCCCGCCTTTGGCTGTGTACTCTGGATGGCTTGAGGTCACTTCTGCATGATGGTGGCCCCCTCCAAACTCTTTCAAACCTGGTCAGTGGAGCTTTTAGAAGCCACAGATTCCAGGGCCCCACTCCGGATGATCTATTTCCAGTCTAGGGTTGGGACCAACAATTATTTTTTATTTTAAAGTATCTATGTGGTTTTGATGTCTGTCCAGGTTTGGAACCACAGGGCTGGGGAGGTGAAAGGTTAGCCGGCTCCCCACCCCTCACTATTTACACTCCAGACTAAGAAGGTAAGTCTGATCTAACAGCTTGGACAAGGCAGCTGCAGAGCTTGACACATAAGTTCCAGGCAGCAGGAAGACAGACAAAATAGGAGGAATGCTGTGCACCAGGGGGACTGGCAGGAGGGATGCGGGAGGCTGAGAAGAGAGCAAGCCAATACCTAGCAATGAAAAAGAAAAGACAGGGAGAAAGATGAGACTGCAAACAAGGAAAGGGGCTCTATGCTGACCACTGATTTTGTAGCAAGATTCTTCACTCTGCTCCCATTGTGACAATAACCCCGGTGGGGTGTTACTCTTTCTTAGATGAGCAGCTTAAGGTCATCATAGTTAAACTTGCTCAGTTTCCTGGCAAATACTCGGGAGGACATGGCTTTGAACTCAGACTATAAATTCTACATTAGCAGGAGCTATCTCTTTGCTCTGGCCTACAGCTAGGCACCTAGTAGAATCTCAGTAAATGCATGTGACTTCTACTTCATTACCGGAAACCCAAAGAAGTGGTCAGGAAGTAGGAACACTCTAGAAGAGCCTAAGAGGGAAAGACCAGAAGCCACAGGGCCCACTGTATTCTGTTTTCACCCTTGACTCCTGAAAGCAACCTGAGAGGTGGGATGGGTTTGACCTGAGCCCTCCACACAGCTCTGCCTCTCTCGCAGGTATCTGTACTGCGGCGAGCTGACTGTGATGCTGGCCCAGGCTATCCCGTTGCACCGGCTGGCCATCAAGTACGGCGTGGCCCCCTTACAGCGCGGCGTGGCTGACTACATGCGTGCGCACCTGGCCGGTGGCGCGGGCCCGGCCGTGGGCTGGTATCATTACGCGGTGAGCACCGGGGACGAGGCCCTGCGCGAGAGTTGCCTGCAGTTCCTGGCCTGGAACTTGTCTGCCGTGGCGGGTAGCGCCGAGTGGGGCACTGTGAGCCCTGAGCTGCTGGCACAGCTGCTGCAGCGCTCGGACCTGGTGCTGCAGGATGAACTGGAGCTCTTTCATGCACTGGAGGCGTGGCTGGGCCGCGCTAAGCCGTCACCCGCTGTGGCCGAGCGAGCTCTGCGCGCCATCCGTTACCCCATGATCCCACCCGCACAGCTGTTCCAGCTGCAGGCACGCTCTGCCGCCCTGGCGCGCCATGGCCCCGCGGTGGCCGACCTCTTGCTGCAGGCCTACCAGTTCCACGCCGCCTCACCGCTGCACTACGCCAAGTTCTTCGACGTCAACGGCAGTGCTTTCTTGCCTCGCAACTACCTCGCGCCCGCCTGGGGCGCTCCTTGGATCATCAACAACCCGGCCCGTGATGACCGCAGCACCAGCTTTCAGACGCAGTTGGGCCCGAGCGGTCACGATGCGGGCCGCCGGGTCACGTGGAACGTGCTCTTCTCGCCACGCTGGTTGCCCATCAGCCTGCGGCCGGTCTATGCCGATGCCGCGGGCACGGCGCTGCCCGCCGCACGCCCTGAGGACGGCCGACCGCGCCTAGTGGTTACCCCGGCCAGCAGCGGAGGTGACGCAGCAGGCGTGAGCTTCCAGAAGACAGTGCTGGTGGGAGCCCGCCAGCAAGGCCGGCTCTTGGTCCGCCACGCCTACAGCTTCCATCAGAGCAGTGAGGAAGTTGGCGACTTCCTGGCGCATGCAGACCTGCACAGGCGCAACTCCGAATACCTAGTGGAGAACGCGCTGCATCTGCACCTCATCGTCAAGCCTGTCTACCACACCCTCATCCGGACCCCCAAGTAGATTGGGAAATAAACGACCTGGCCTAGGTGGTACCAGGGCCTGGGAAGGATGAGGCACGTGCGGAGCGGACTGTTAGCCTGGCCCCTGGGTGGCCAGGTACTAGCTGGTTGGGGCTGGGGTGGGTACCAGGTGAGTGGCGGTAGACCAGATGCCTGGATTCTGGAGCTCACTCCATAACCAACTTGAAGGCAACATTCTTGATCCTGAATAAACAGATACTCAGAGAGGTGAAGGGGTGAATGAACCACCAGCCCACTGGGAAGAGGACCCAGGGAGATCCCACAAGTCTGGGGGCTGTCTAACTTTCACTGAGTTTTTCCCTGACAGCCCCCACCCCACCTGGAACAGGACAGGTAAAAACAAATGGTCAGTGGGCCACCAACCGGGACACCAGGGTACCTACCCCCGGCAGGAGTTTTCTCACCTGGCAGTTGAAGACTTAGTTGGTCAGATTTTGAGCCCAGATCTCCAGGGCCCAGCTCCTTCCTCTACATTGGGAGGTTTTCTGTGGGTGTCACCCCAAGGCCCTGGCCTTTCTTCTAGGAGGGGACTTTGGAAAATGTGACAGTTGCTGGGATAAGAGCATAAACTGGACCTTGTTCTAGCCCTGACTTTCCCGGGGAGGGGCCTTGGATCTGGGAGAGAACTCCTTTCCCTAGCCAGCGGGAGAGCAGGGTGTTTTGGGGAGGAGGAAGGGAGATGCTTGAATCTTAGTCATGGCTGTTGTCCCACATTTAGATGAGGTCTGGTTTCCAACACAACCATGAAAACACAAATGAGATTTTATTATTAAAAAGGAAGGAGGAAAAGCCATTGCAAAGTAGCAAACCCAGATTCCCTCCCCACGCCACCTCATCCTGTGTGAAGGCCCCTCAGCCCTTTCTCCGGTGACCCACCATTCCCTTGGCCCAGGTGTGGGCCCAGGAGCTCGGTCTGCTTACAGCTCCCTGCCCCACTGCCAGGGCTGAGACTGGCCGCAGGTCTGTGCAGGGTTTTGGCAATAGTACTGCGTCCAGGGTGAAGGCTGTGCCTCTTGGGCTTACCGCCTTCTCCCTGACAGTGAAAGCATGGAGGGGCTGGGCAGACACCCCCACAGTTTCTGGGTTTCAGGAGCCCTGGCTTTTTGAGCTTCTGAGTTCCTGTTCCCATGTGATCCCCATCTGCCCACCTTCCATTTCCCGTTCCCAGCTACACCCCATTCAGTCTCGGGAGCAGAATAGCTGGTTCCAGGCAGAGCTCCTCAATTATGTCGGAAGGGCCCCTCTTTGCAGTGGGTGCTCGAGCCATGGGGTAGGCGAGGCCCATGAGTAGGTCGTCGGGAAATGCCAGCTGTGTTGGAGGTAACAATAAGGGGTAAGGTGTCCCCAGAGCCTGCAACAGGGAAAGAGCCGGGATCAGTGGCTTGAACTCCCTAGGGGCACAACCTCTTGAATACTGAGACTCAAGCTTCCATCACTGGGCAGGTACAGGGGCAGGAGCTTGATGGTCTCCTCCCTGGGCTGGCTAAGGCTTCCCCTTCCCTCCCTTGCTTGTACTGACCGGTGCCCTCGCTTGGAGGAAGTCTGATTTTGGCCAAAGGCAGCACAACCTTTCCCAGGTGCTGGTTATTGGGTGCTGGGTGCCTGCATGCTGGCACCTTGTGGTCCGATGTGCTCTCCGGGGGATGGTGGACGTGTGTCTTGGGGCGGGACAGCTGCGTTGGTTGGAGAACAGTGAGTGAGGTGACGCCATGAGCTGTGTAGGCCTCTGTCCCAGCTACAGTGACAGCCTGGGGATGTAGGCGTTGTTGAGGATGCTGCCTCCGGGGGCGGTGCAGGGCTGGAGATACCCTGGGGCTTCCAGAGGAACTCAGCCCTCAGGACCCCACCCACTTCGCCCCTGTCCTTTGCCTCACCCCTTGCCCTGCGACCTCAAGGGACCTTCGCTTCCTCTTCTTTGCCTCCAGTGACTCCTCTCTCTTCTTGTCTGTGCTTTTCTTCTGGCCACGCAGCCAGGGCCCAGGGCCGTCACCTTGCTGCCTGATCGCCTGGGAGGGGGCCTCGCTCGTGCTGCTGGACAGGTTGTCCTCGCTGGCTGCGCGGTGCAGCGTGAGGCTGGGCGGCCCTGCATCATCAGCCTCGCTCAGTGAGTTTAGGGACAGGCTGCTGCGCTCTGTGGCAGGGGCCAGCAGATGGCGCCCCTCTCTGGCCAGGGCCCGTGAGCGCCGCCGGGCAGCCTTCACTGAAATGGACTTGGTGCCGGTCAGGATCTCCTTTCCCTCTGCAAAGGACACAGCAATCCCAACCCAGGATCAAGGGCCACCTCCCAACACCCTTCCTCTGCCACGGCAGAAGTGAGCAGGAGCCAGGGTGCCTTTGCCCCCAGCACCCAAATTACTTGTTTTTTAAGAAACCTGGGACACATTCAGCTTTACTTCCCTCTGGGAACCAGGGATGGCAAGACTAACCCAGTAGGTTACTAAGACAATGGGCTTAACCTACTTTATCCGGGGGACAGAGATTCAGTTGGTGCTATTACAACTGTTATTGAGTGGAGGGGGTGTGATCTTAGGTGTCAGGTGTCCCCATTCTGCTTTCTGATTGTGTTCCCATCTCTCTGTGTCCTTAAGCAGGGAGCTAACACCCCAGGGGGCACTGGTGACTACAGAATAGGCAGCACCCAATGCACGGTGTATTCTGCAGGTCAAAAGGGAAGACCGGGCTTTGGGCTGGGTGATCTGAACAGCTAGATGATGCCAGGCAGGGGGCACACGTACCTTTCTGGGACAAGGGGATCTCAGACAGATTCTCACTGCTGGCGGGGGAAGAGTGGATCTGGCAGCCCAGGCTGTCTGAGGGTGGGGCCTGGAGTGAAGTGGTTGGGAAGAGGAAAGAAAGTTTTGAACACGGCAGGGACCCTGTGTTGGCAGAGACAGCAGACCTCAGGGTTGGGTGGCTGTTTTGGAAAGACTGCACTGCAGCTGTAGGTTATCTACCCTTGTGTACCCACCCCCAGCAGCAGCTCCAGTGGGTGCCTGGAGCTCACCTCCTGGGTCACCAGGCTGCCAACGGGGATGGGAGGTGGGATGGGCACAGAGGAGCTCTTTGCTGGCCAAGCCCGGGGTCTGGTCTTGGAGGCAAGGGGCGCTTTACTGATGATGGCAGATGAGGATGGGTGGCTGTTGACCAGGCTGGTGGCACTGAGGTCGGCCCTCCCAGGAGAGAGGCTGTTGGTGTAAAGGGAAAAAGAACCTGGGACTCTTGGCTCCAGACCTCCCGTTTATTCAGTCTGCATCTTCCCTGTTGACCCCTTGATCTGGTTTCACTGCCCCCTGCCCCTGACAGGGTACAAAAGGTAACTGAAGGAAGCGGCCTCACCTCTCCATAGTGATGGGGGGTAGGGTGGTGTTCTGCAGGTGCTGGGCTTCAGAATGCAATGTGTTCACGCTCTCTGGGTCAGAGTCTGAGGTCAGTGTGACTTCCACTGGGATAATTTGGGGCAAGAAACTGTCCTAGGGAGGGCAGCACAGGAGTGAACAATCAGAAGACTTGGTCCTGGACCACGTGACAGCAGAGGGTGACAAAGGCACACGGAGCAGTAAGGGCTATCACATGGGCTAGAAGCCCTGGAAGGGCAATGGGCTTGGGTCCTAGATCCCCAGGAGGAAGCTGCAGTTTGCTAGGAAGCCTCAGTGGCACCACCTAATGCCCTGGCCTGCTGAGAGGTCATCTGGGGCCATTTGTGAGATCTCAGATGGCCAATCCTGACCCTCAGATCCTGGGTGGGGACAAATGCCAGTAAGGAATGCCTAGGGATAAGGACCTTATTTGGGCTTGCTAGGCATGCAGTAAGAAGGAAAGGACACTAACTCTCTGGGGTTCCAGCCAGCTAGTATCCCACTGTGGGTGGTAGCCCCTCCCTGGCATATGTGCATACATGCACGGCTGCCCCCTTGCCCACCTTCAGGGCCCTGGAGGCCACTCGGCCCATGACGGTGGCCTGCTCCAGGCCACCCTCCTCCTGCTCTTGCAGGTACACTTCGCAGAGGTTCTCTAGGTGCTGGGGGACTGGCAGGTTGTAATCTGTGGGGGAAGGGGCGGGGCTCAGCATAGGCCCGCTGGCCCTCCTAAGCAGCTTGGTCAAGTGGGAACAGGCCTTACCATCGATGAGCTGCCTCTGGGCCTGGATGATCTTGTCGCAGACGCGAAGCAGCCCCTGTGACTGCATCTCGGTGTTCTCCATCTCGAGTTCATGTACCCAGCACAGCAAACTGAGCACCTCACGCTGCTTCTCGGAGCCAATGAGCCGCAGCAGCGTCTCCTCCAGGCACCGGCACCGTGTGCGCAGCTCCTGCCGGCAGCGCTGCTGCAACACCAACTGGGGAGGATGCCGGGTCAGCACCAGGCAGTGCCCACCTGCCCTTCCTGCCCTCGCCCTTCCAGCCCCCGGACTCTCTAGCTCCTTGCCAATCCTCAGAGCTGTGTCTTGGACCTTGTAACCAGGGGCTCTTCCAAAGTGGTTTCTCCTTGCCCACTTTCTCGCTGCCCTACCACTCATCCTCTGCTGGAGCCAGCTCTGTGGACATCTGCTCAACCCCAGCCCCGTGACACCTTCAGGGCTGATAATACCCTGCAGCCCCTCTGGCTTGAGTGTGCCTTTTCTTATGCTTTCCACAACAGAAAGGAAAGATCTGTTATCCCGAAAGCCCTATCATGTTAGCTACCATGTTTGGAACCTGGGCATGTGCCAGGCTTTAATTTAATCACTTCAAAGACCCTATGAGGGCTGCACCATGACCACTTGCATTGTATAGATGAGAAATGTGAGGCACACAGAGGTTAAAGAACCTGGCAAGGTCACCCAGGGTTTGTAGCCTGAGCTCCCATTCCTCCTCCTCCTCCTCTGGCCCCCAATTGCTCTGCCGCTCCTCATCCCCCATGCCCTCCAAGCCCTGGACACCTTCTCCTTGTGCAGCTTCCTCTGCTCGTCCACCAGGGCAGTGAGGCTTTCCCGGGCTGAGGCCACTTCAGGTGGCTCTACGTCATCTGGTGCGTCACTGCCTGTGTCTGAGTCTTTCTCACTGTCATCCTTGGTGTAGGACTCCTTCCTCAGCTCCTTGCACCATTTGAGGGCTCCACGCCTTTTCTTACGCTTCCAACTGCTCCATCCCAGGGAGATACGAGATTGAGGCCATAAGACAGTGTGCACCCACATCTCCCAGCTCTGGTGTCCTGGGCCCATGTGGGGCTTGGAGGGAAGGAGGGGTGTGTACCCAGCAATGGTGAGCAAGTGGCAAGAGGTCTCCATCTCGATCTCGATCTCCCCGGCCCGCTTCTCCAGCTCTAGCAGGCGCCTGCGCACATCCGTCTGCTCCTGGAAAGCTCTAGTGAGCTGTGCATGCAGTACCCTCATTTCTGCTTGCTCACCCTGCTGCTGCACTTCGGCTGCAAGGGGTGGGGGTGTGGTAAGGGGTGAGGGGGATGGGGGTGGGAAGGGAGGTCAGTCAAGGGGCAGGCTCAGGCTAAGGATTCTAGGCCCATCTGGGCCTTCCCCATCTTTCTTCCTTTTTTTTTTTTTTTGTGCCAGGAATCGAACTCAGGACCTTGTGCTTGCCAGGCAGGTGCTTATGCCACTGAGCTATATCCCTGGCCCCCATCTTTCTTGCTAAATCACTGCACCCACTTCCTGTCCAAGAACTTCCTCCAGAAAGACCTCCTCCTACTCCCACCCCCAAAGGCTGTCATAAGGCTGTACCCCAAAGGTATTACCAATTCCTCCATAGGACCCAGATTCCCCTCACCTTTACAGCAGCACTTTATATTAACTGTAAAAAGGTGGTGGCCCCAGTGTTCCACCAGGCAGCCCCCCAGTGTGAAATCTTGCACAGCTAAATGCGTAGTACAGTATGTGATCCCACCTGATTGACAGCTCCCCATGGCAGAGATCAGGATCCCATTTTCCAAGGGTAGGTTGGAAGGCTCAGAGCAGTTGAGTGCCAACCAAGGCTACCCAGCCCAAGAGAGCCTGGGTCAGCACTACCTGTCCCCACTCACACACCTTGGATGTGTCGGATGTCACCCCGCTCCAGCGGGCCTGGGGCTGGGCCCCACCCAGCCTGTTGTTTGATCTTGCCCTTGAGCCTCTGGATCTCACCCCGCAGGTCCTCAATGATACTAGTGTACTGCGCGATGTGATAGGAAACGTTAAGTAAATTCTGCTTCACCTGCAGGGAGAACACCAGGCTTACCTCCATATACTTCCTGGACCTTCCTGAGGGGCCTTCCTTTGTTCTTCCTTTCTTTCTGTCCCGGTCCTTCTGGTGACAGTAATGGCCTCATTGCCTCCAACTCCACCTCTTCCTATCACATCTAACATGTCTCTGCTAGCTCTGTAGTCCTAAAGCACTGCTTCTGCCCATCAACTTTCAGTGGCTCCCAACTCCCTGGATGGAATGCCCTACTTCCTTTACCTGGTGTTGACGGTTCACCAGGCTCTGGTTTATTCTGAGTTACTGCTTCCGAACAATTATTCTGCTCTCTAGTCAAGAAACGCTCCTGTTGGTCCTCCATATCCACCACAGATTCTAACTCCTTCTCACCTTTGCAACTTTACCACTTTCCACCTTCTGGAATATTCTCCCCATACTTCACAGTACTACTCAGTCTCCCCTACCCGCACCCCTACTGGCACCATCTACCTAACAACTGTCTCAACTACCAATAAACTAGTCAACACTATGTCTCCCCCATGAACTTCCTGAAGAGTCAGAATACAGCTTGAAGCATTCAATCTTACAGAGACTTCATACTAGATGTCAGGGTCCCACCATGTTCACCAGAGAAGTAGGAACATGAACTTGAGAACCAGGCAGACCTACTTCTAGTCTCTAAGACATCACTGACCAGCTGGGAAATCATTTACCATTCTTAAGCCTCACTGTCTAAACTGTATCATGGGGAAGCAGTAACACTTGCTTGGTTTTGAAATCAGATGAGATAATATGTCAAAGAGCTCAGAGCAGGCACTCAGTAAGGGCCACCTCTTATTATGACTGCTATGAGGAGGAGCTTTGAAATGCAGAGGTCTGAATGGACCTCTGGAGAGGAAGGGGAGATGCAGGGGCTGGGCTGCAATGAGAGGCAGGTGAGGGTTTTAGGGTCAACATGCAGGGGGTGGAGGTGCAGGGCAAGTGCTTAGGGGTGACGTTCGATTGGGGAATGAGGCCAGTGCCATGGTGGCTGGGTCTGGAGAGAATGGGGTGGGTAGAAGGGATCAGTCCAGGAGCTCGATTCTGGACCCAGGAAAGTGTGCCCAGAGGGACAGCCCATGTTGCCTCACCCTTGTCTTAATGTTCTTGGCCCGGCCGGCATAGGTCAGGGTGTTCCGGGACTCCTCAAAGGCTGTGCTTGCTGGGCTGATGTGGGCGATCATCACAGTGCGGCTGTTCCCCCCCAGTGAGTCCTGGACAGAGAGAGACAAGGAATGTGGTCAGCTGAGAGGGCCTCCTGACCCTGTCCTGGTATGTGCTCACTTTTTCCCTACATTCCTTCCTTTTCACACAGACGCTCACACACACACACACACACACACACACACTGCACATTGCAAACAACATGGGAGGAAGAAAGCCAGCTAGGAGACCCAGAAGCTACTTTGGAATATGGCCATCATTCCCCCTGCCTGCAACTCTCTGCCTTGTGGATATAGCCACAATGGCAGACTGACTCAGATCATGTAAGTTGTTGCTATGACATTCGACCAAAGAGACCTCAGTGGTGATCCTATTTCTAGCATTACTAGCTTGAGCCCTCAGAAAAACTCCTTAGCCCCCTTGTGCAAATTTCTCATCTGCAAATGGAACTCTCCTAACTCACAGAATCACTGACAAGATAAAGGACTAGGGGAAAATGGCAGAGTGGCAAGCAACGACAACTCAGCCTTTCCAAGATCTGGAATCCAAACATTGGAAAATAGTAACTCGGGGAAGAAAGAAAGATAACTAGATCACTGGGAACCTGGAAGGATCTGACAAGAAACCTAAAAGCTACAGAGAAATTGAAGAGACAGAACACAGTGCAGGGGGGCGGGGCAATCTGTACTTTCTCCCCAGCTCCCAGAGATCATGGCTTGCAGGAAAGGGAGACCAAATCTACACAGACAAAGTAGAAGCCAGAGATTCCAGAGTGCTTCAGAGAGAAACACGAAGGTGGGACAGAGCAGTGGGTGCTGTGAGCTGTAGGGAGAGCATGGGATTCTGCTCCCACAGGAGTCCTTTGACCAGCAACAGCTGATGAATGACTCCAGTCCAAGCACTTGCCTTAAACCTGGAGAGGGTGCTTGGTTGGATGCCATTCCAGGGAAAGGTTGATTGTTTTAACCCAGGACTCAGTAGGTGTGGACAGTCTCACTTCAGGGCTCCCAGTGTTACATTCCCACAGTGACTGGGTGAAAGACAGCTATCCCTGGGGAGCAGGCTGGAAAGAAACTCTTTGAAGAGTTTGAGGTAAAGGACATAGGCCTTGTTCCCATGACCAGAGAGGCCAGGATTAGCTACATTACTCTGGATTTGAAAATCACCACATTGGCCCCCTCACCATAATCCTACTTACTGTCTGCTGGTACCTGCATCCAGCACAGACTTGGAGTCTAGCTATCTCCTTTACCTATGTGTGGTCAGGGCCACATCTTGAACCAGACACACCCCAAAATGGTAGATCCCAGAAGAAAACCACACATTCAAAATCACAAAGAATTTTTTAATGTGCATTGTTTTTTGTTTTTCTTCTCTTTTTTCTTGAGATTTAGGGTATTTTCCTTTCTTCTAATCTTGTTTTCTTTATTTTTTCCTCTTCTCTTTTAATTTTTCTGCCTTTAATTTTTTTCTGATATTTCTACTCCCCATATAATTTCCTCTTTCCTCCATCTTTGTCTTTTGTCTTCTGTTTCTTGTCAGTTTTTTCTTTTATCTTTACCTAATCCTATAAACATCCTTCTACTCCCCAATAGGATCCCTTGTACCATTTTTCTCTCTTCCTTATATCATATAGTTTAAGGTTTCAAATTTTTCTTCTTGCATTTCCCAGTTCCCAACCCCTAATGTCTTTAATAGTATAACCGTAAATCTTTATTAACCTTTAGATAGTTAACTATAAAATGACTGTTGAATTCTTTTCTGCCCTTAGCAGAGCTATAGCTGTCGCATTTAGTACATAGAAGCTGAAATTCAATGCCTGGGCTGTCTCAATGCTTATATCTTAATTGTGGATTTCTTCTCTAGGGTTAAGTGTGGTACATAATTGGTTCTTATGGTATGTATGCCCATTTGTCTTGGGCAGTGCCACTGTAGCTGATTTGTTTGATATCACCAAGCTGGCATAACTGTTGCTATTAATGGGTTTTCTTTGTAAGCTAACACTCAAATTACCTTCGTGACATAAACAATAGAAGACAATATCCCTAGACAATTCAGTGTTGGGCCAATGATACTGCATCCTCCCCCACCAAAGTAACCAAGGTGGGTGGATCTTGGGGCTGAGGCAAAGGACTATAATGAGCTACACCTAAACACATCACTGAAAAGAGGCTAAAGAGATCTCTATATACTAACTCTATACTAACAAGAAAGTCTTTACACTATAAGCATCCACAGACCTTAGCACAAAATAAAACATACAAACCGACAACCCTAATAGAAATATAAGAAGAAAAGGCAACAAAATGCTTCCCAAAACTCCCCACTCCCCTAAAGCCAATTCAGGAACATTCAAGGAGGAGAACAGTGTAAATGATACACCCAAATTACTCAAAAGGATAACAGAGGAGGTTAAAAAATAGATCAAAGAGGTACTCAGTAAGATCATCAAAGTTATAGCTAAACAAATCATTAAAGTAGTAATCAAAATGATCTAAGAGCTTTCAGAAGACACTACTTAAAAGCTAGCTGACCTAAACAAAACTATACAAATGTGAATGACCAATTTAGCAAAGAATTAGAACCCTGAAAAGATTTCAATCAAAAACCCAGGAGATTAAAAATTATATCGAAAGTATGGGCAGCAGAAGAGACCATGTGAAGACAGGATTTCAGATCTCGAAGACAATGACACCTTCAAAGACCAACTACTCAGACACCTTAGACCGAGGATGTGAAAAACAGATCCAGCAGCTGCTAAATGATGCAAAGAAGACTAACCTCAGAGTAATTAGCATAAGTGAAAAATCAGAAGACAACACAAATGGCATAAAAAACCTGTCCACAAAAAGCACAGAAAACTTCCCAAATCTACAAAAAGAAATAAGCATACAGATAAGGAGGTGTACAGAATCCCAAATAACCCTGACCAAAAGAGAACCTCTCCACACCGCACTATACTCAAGGTACCAAAAGTCCATTAGATGGACAAAATCTAAGCTGTCGGATAAAGGCACATAATCATATAAAAAAGTAAACCCACTAGAATACAGGAGACTTCTCAACACAAAGCCCGGGAGGGCTTGGAGTGAAGTATTTCAAGCCCTAAAAAAACAACAACTTCTAACACTAGCTTATGTTCCCTGCAAAACTTTCCTTTAAAATTGACAGAGAAAAAAGGTATTTCCATAACAAGGAGCACCTCAAAAAATTCATGACCACCAACCAAGATTATAAAAAAGTATCAAGGATATCCTAGAAAGTGACAAGCCAACAATGCCAATAAGTCAAAAAGAATGATGATGCTTGGCAATGTGAGCAGCTAAGCAAAAAGGGAAATAAAAACAAATCACCAACAGGAAAATAATGCAACGATAGGAATAAATCAATACTTCTCAGTAATAATTCTCAACATGAATGGTCTCAAAACCAAACAAAAGATAAAGATTGGCAGAATGGGTCAAGCAACAAAATCCAATGATATGCAGTATATAAGAAACACATTTAATTCAAAAAGAAATTCACAGATTAAAAATCAAAGGTTGGAAAACAATCCTTCATGCAACAGGAACCCAGAAAAAAGCAGGAGTAGCTATCCTAATTTCAGAGAAAGTGAATTTCAATCCAAAACTGATCAGAAGAGACAAAGAAGTTCACTACATATTGGCTAAGGGAATAATTCAACAAGAAAGGATAACAATTATAAATATACTGGTGCACCCAACTTCATAAAATAAACTGTGATGGACATGAAAAATCAGATAAACACCAATACCATTGTCATGGGGACCTCAATACCTCTCTGTCAGAAATGGACAGATCAATTAGGCAAAAAAATTAACAAGGAATTATCAGAGTTGAACCAAACCTTCAAACAAATGGATTTAGTACAGTAATTTCCTGATTTACGAACATTTGAGTGGAGAACTTTCACAGATATGAACAGACCTTGGATTACGAGTATTTGTAGATGTGAGCAAATTGCAAAAATAACTCATGTGTTTGCCGGACACTGTCATAGTTGTAATGCTGTGTACTTACTATACAGTGTCATAGTGTACAGTAGGACAGTGCTCGGTCAGAGCCCAGGATGTCCGGAAGCAGAAGGACAAGCAGTGGTGATATGGAGGGGACTGCTAGGAAGCACAAAGCAATACACTATTTACAGTTGTTGTTTGTACTACCACTTTAAGAAAACTATAAAAGTAAAAGTAACTTATTTACAGTATTTTTGTGTGTTTGATTCTTTTATGCTTTACATTGTATGTTTGTGTCAAAGTGTTTAATAAGACTCACTTTGTTGGACTTACGAATGAATCTGACTTATGAACGTTGTCCTAGAATGGAATTTGTTCATAAGTTGGGGACTTACTATAGATATCTACACAGCGTTCTACCCCAACAACAACAAAGTATGCATTCTTTTCCACAGCACATGGAACTTTCTCCAAAATAGACCACATGCTCGCCCATAACACATGCTCAGTAAATGCAAATAATTGAAATTAGCCCATGCATGCTATCAGATGATAGTGCAATGAAACTCGAAATCAATGGCAAAAGAAACCACAGAAACTAGGCAAATATACATCAATTAAACAGTACCATCTTGAATAATCAATGGGTCACAGATAAAATTAGGAAAGAAATTAGACAGTTTTTACAATCAAATGACAATGCTAGTATGACAAACTGGAACCTATGGGACACAATGAAAGCAATCCTAAGAGGAAGGTTTATAGCAGTGAATTGCCATATCAGAAAAACAGAGTGAGCTCAAATAAATAACATCATGTGCACCTCAAGGTCCTAGAGAAACAAGAGCAAACCCAAAGCTAGTACAAGGCAAGATATTATAAAGATCAGAGCAGAAATTAATGAAACTGAGACTAAGCAAACAATATAAAGAAACAATGCATTAAAGAGTTGGTTCTTTGAAGGAATAAACAAAATACAAAAACTCCTAACCTATCTTACCCAAATCCATGTTACTAGAAAGGAAAATGGCAAAATCATAACAGATTCTGCCTAAATCTGGATCAATGGTAGCTACTTTGAGAACCTGAACTCTAACCAAATGGAAAATTCAGAAGAAATGGATAGATTCCTAGATACATATGAATTACCAAAGCTGAACCAAGAGGATAGATATAAGAATACTGAATAATCCATTATCAGTCAAAGAAACTGAAAAAGTAATAAGAAAAACTCAGGTCCTCACAGATTCATTTCAAATTCTATAACAACTTTAGAGAATACCTAACACCAATACTCCTCAAACTCTAATGAAATCAAAAGGGAAGCTGTACTTCCAAAGTCATTTCCGGAAGTAAGCATTACCCTGATTCCAAAACCAGAGAAGAACCCAAGCAAAAAAGAGAACTACAGGCCAATCTCTTTAATGAACATAGATGAAAATATCCTCAATAAAATACGGGAAACAGAATGCAGCAATTCATCAAAAAGATCATACATCAGGATTCATTCAAGGACTGCAGAAATGGTTCAACACATGCAGATCAATAGACATAATACACCACGTAAACAGAAGCAAGGACAAAAATCACAGGATCATCTCATAGATGCAGAAAAAGGATTCAGCTAGGTATCTTGCATTTTTATTGCACACCTGGCAGCCTGACCATTCGTGCCCAGTGCCTGGGCCCAGCCGTGTGGTACCTTGAGGAGCCTGGTGAGCTTGCTGTCCCGGTAGTTGACATATTTGTTGCTGCCCTTGTCACTCAGTGCATTGATGCAGTTGCCCAGGGCCAGCAGGGAGCGGTTGATGTGGGCCCCCTCCTTCATGCGCTGCCCACGGTTCTGTGTCTGGGAGCAGCAGAGGACATAACTGTGACCTTCTGGGGCAGGGGATGGAGCTCCACCTCCGCCCCCCTCAAAATGCCCAGGGGATCCTGGTGATAAATCCCACTTTCTCCCTTGGGGCCCCAGGATGTATCACTGATGTGACACTTAAGCTTTGTCCCGCCCTCCTGTCAGGGGCCTGGAAGACTTTTGAGAAGGTAAGAGGACAGCAGAGTCTCTAAACAAGAGTTGTGGGCTTCAGGCTTCTGAGCAGGGCTGAGCAGCTGCTTCTTAGTCTCTGCAGAGGAGGTGCTGCCAGAAGGTGTGGTCCACCAAGTGGCTTCCCTTGGGCTGCCTCCACCACTGGAGTTGGCTCCAGAGAGTGTCACAGGCTTCAGGGAGCAAAGAGAGATGTGTGATGTATGTGTGAGGGAATGTGGAGGGTGTGCATGTGTGTGCCTGAGAGACGGAAAGTGCAGAGATCAGGGTTTTCCGCTCTTGGCCTGCAGGGGGCGTTAAGGCAGCAGGGCCTCTGTCACCAGTCGGAAACCACCTCAGCCCTCCTGGAGAAGCTGGGACCAGCTGGTTCTGGCACTGCACACCCTGTCCTCCCAGGCTCCCCGTCCCTTCAGGAAGGCCTCCAGGCCTTACTCGTGGGGAGGGATGAGTTTGTTGAACCTCACCCTGTTCTAACCCAACTGCACAGGAAACCTTGCTCATTCTCCCATGAGGTTCTTCAGCCCGCACTTCTCCAGCGCTAACAGTGACATCACTCGACTTCCTCTGTCTGATGACTGTGAACCCCAAGTTCTGTGTGATGATGTGGCCACCCAGGGTCACTGAATCAGGCAAGCAGGGGTTCGTGGTGGAGAACAAGAATACTTGGAGAAGCGGTGACAAGGCCACCATATGACTGGGGGACCCCTCTCCCAAGCTCGGCCCAAGTCCCTCAGTCAGGGGCTTTTCTCCCCACTACCAAACGCCTCGGCTGGCCCAGTCATTGTTTTCCTGACCCCCCTCCCTCCTGTCCCCCAAGCAGGATACCCCAGCCCATCCTTACCCTCCTGGGCCTCGAGGACACTCCTTTGGCCCTCACCCTGGGGCTCCCACTCATCCTTCTGCCGGATGTTCTCCGCTCCCAACCTCTGGGGCGCTGTCCCCCCACAGCAGCCTCTCCCCCAGCCCTGGAGAGCCAGCCTCACTTCGGGGAGCACTTTCCCTGGTCCTTCTTTCCTCTGGGACAGATGTCTTTGCCCTGTCCCGAGAGCCAGCCTCACCTGGGAGGCACGCTCAGAGCCGGCCAGGTCGATCATGAACAGGCGGCCCTGCCGCACCTCCTGCATGATGCTCTTGATCCGGCTGCGCTGGCGCACGGCCACCTGCAGCACAGCATGGGAGCGCGAGGATGTCTGGTTGGCAGCTGTGGGCTCTTGGGTCCTCTGCTGGTTCCCCTTCATCAGCAGCTGCATGACCTAGGAGGGTAGGAGGAAGGGAACGATGGAGGTCTTGGGGACCAGTGGAGATGTCCCGCAGCAGGGAGGAGCCCAGGCCAGGGGAAGGGGCTCCTGCATCTAAGAGGTTGGAAAAGGGCAGCTGGGGTGACCTAGCCTCTGTGTCTGAGGGGCCATGGTGGGCGCCTCAGCTCCCCAGTAGGCGGGCTTCTGTGGGACTAGGGGAGGACGCGCAGCCGGGTCACCCCCTCAGGGTCAGCGAGGTTGGGGCTTGATGGCAGGCGTGAGTTTCCCTCTCAATACCACTTAGGATTCTCGTGTGGCCCAGCCCCCACTGAGCCAGTGGCTTCCTGGCCCCAGTCCCTCACTTCCTGTCGCCTCTCACTGAGTGTCCCTCTCACAACCCCTGACTGGCCACACAAGACTCGCCTCGTTGGCATTGATGGTGGAGACCTCGGTGATTCCGGCAACCTGGATGGCTCCTTTGGAGTCCTCCCTCAGCTCCAGGTACCCCAGGGTGGGGTTGAGGAGGTCCCGGATCATCTCATTGTAGATCTGATGGGACCAGTCAGGGGGAGAGTGGAGAAGGGAGACCAAGGTCAGGAGGTCCATGTAAGGAAAAGTACCCCCACCACCACTCTCCCCCGACCCCCGCCAGCAGGAAGGGGCCAGGTGTCCAGGCTTTGTGGGCCCCAGGCTCCAAAGCTGACATTCCTGGAGGCTCTAGAACCTAGTGGACTTCTCAGGCCGGGTGCTCGACCGATGAAGAGACCTGACCAAAGGCTGGAACAGGTCGAGAAGCCTTGCTCATTGCTAGGCAACCTTAGGCTGCTTCCGGGTGGCCCCACACATGGCAAAGGGAGTCTTGCTGGCTCAGTCAACGCCAGCTGGCAGCCCTATCTCGCTGCTCCTCCCGGGCTGTCATCCGGGAGATTATCGGCTCTCGGAGGAGCCAGATGGAGCCCAGCTTGCTGGCCAGGTCTCCTGCCTCTTCCACACTCAATGTGGACAGGTGTGCTCCAGGGGTGGGCCCAGGAGCATGGTAAGGAGGGCTGGATGGGAGGGCTGCAAAGCAAAGGCCACTCTGGAGTGTGGGACAAGAGGTCACGCTTGGCTTTAAAGCCACCAGGTCCTGAGTCTGAATCCCTGCTCTCTCACTTGCTGTGTGTCATGGATCTACTTGCCTATCCTCTCTGAGCCTCCTTTCGTGGAAGGTGGAGCTAACATGCTCGTGGGAGAGTAGTCATGATGGCCATCCAGGAAACCGCCCAGTAACAAGCTCCAGGGAGGTGGACCCGTCCTGTGCACCCTTAACCCAGGCCTGGGTGGGGGCTCACCTCCAGGTAAGACATGGACACCTCATATTCCATGTCACTGCTGGTCTCCTCGATTGCACGGAAGAGGTCATTGAGGGTCCGAACATAGATGCCCGGCTCATGGTCAGTACCCAGCATGGTGTAAGTTTTCCCACAGCCTGGGGCAGAGCAGGGTTATGGGTGAACAGAATGGAGACCAGGGGGAGGCCTTGCTGGGCAGATGCTCCTGGCAACCCTGGGCCTGTCCCCAAGTCTGGGTCCCCAGATGGCCAGGTGGTAGTGAGGGGCAGAAGGATGAGGACACTGGAGGGGATGGGGTTTTGGAGCTGGAGGGTCCTGGGTGAGGTTTGGATCAGCCATAGCCTTGATCCCTGCCCAGATGAGACCAGGCAGGGGGCTTGGTTCCTAAGGGTGGGATGACGGGGATGTTCCGGTCTGGGCTTCTGCCTCACCTGTAGGACCATAGGCAAAGACAGTGGCATTATAGCCTGAGATGACGCCTTCTATGAGGCCCTTGGTGGTAGCCTGGTACACCATCTCCTGCAGGGAACAGGAGATAGGTCGAGGGCCCGGCACACAGATGGGGCAGAGCACAGATGCCCACAGGCAATGCTGGCCCTGGAGGGTTTCCTGTCCGCAGAGCCCCAGGCTGGGGAGAAGGGTAAGGCAACTCTAGGAGAGGATGTCTCCACTTACACCCTTTGGGGAATACCACGGTGCATGAGAGCTCAGGACACCTGAGACACTTCCCCCTGCAACGGGCTCCTGGCCCCCAGCCCTGAGGACACATTGCATCTGCTCCTGGGAGCATCCCAAAGATGGGCAAGATGGGATTCCCTGGGAGAGTGTCAGCTTCCCGACACTCCTCTGCCTGCCATATGTGCTTCAAGCTCCTGCCCCCGGCTTGGATATGGGCCAGCCATGGAGTGTTGCACCTAGGCAGTTGTGTGTGTGTGTGTGTGTGTGTGTGTGTGTGTGCTAACCCAAGCATGTCTAGGCAGGAGGCCAGGTGTGCCTACCACACCGGTGTACAGGTGTAGGTACCATGCAAACACATGCAGACCAGGGCTGGGGATATAGCTCAGTGGCACGGCACCTGCCTGTTAGTTGTAGGTTCTTGGTTTTGTTTCTTGTTTCCAAAAACCAAAACGCATGTAGACCTCCCCAAATGGAAAAGCTCTAGAACTCTAATCCTGGAGCACATGATGGAAGGAAGTGAGGGTCAGTGGCAGAGTCCCTGAGTGCTCCTGCCAGGTGGGGCAAAGGGTGCCAAGGGGCTCTTTCATGTCTCAGGCCCAGACCCAGGCTCTCTCTGACCTGGGTGGCAGTGAAGTCAAAGGCCACATCAAAGAGGTAGGACTTCTCCCGGGAGCGGTGTGCCCGCAGAATGTCGTCAGGGTCCTCCATTGGGTCCATGAGAACCACCATCTGCAAAGATCCCCAAGGGAAGGCCACAGTCACCAAGGGTCCCCAGAGCCCTGGGCTCGTTTCTGCTCCCATCTGATCTCCAGGTGTCAGGTCTAGATGCTTGGCTTTGGGTGCGGCCCCTACAAGGCTGGTATAGTCCCAAGGGAGCCGAGAGCTCTGAGGGGCTGCCCCAAACACAGCAGGTCTGAGATCCAGGTCCCATCCCTTAATTGCAAAGCTCTTCCCCACAAGAAAAGCATCAGCAGTGCTGTACTGCCTGAAGCAATTGTTTTTCCTTACTGCACAGCGGAGGAATTTAGGGTCCGGAGTCCAGGTCATACTAGTGAGGGGAGGACCTGGGGCTCAAAAGCTGGGACCTGGGTTCAAAGCCTGCAGACCCATTGTCTAGAACAATCTCCTAGGCCACCCCACTCTGCCCGTGTCCTCAGTGTTCCAAGCTTTGTTCTGGGCTCCATGTGGAAATGGAGGGGCAGGATCTTCATCAGGGGTCCCAGCTAGGAATAGGTGGGGAAGTCAGTGCTCCCAGAAATGACAGCAGACACTCAAAGACTCACGGAAGGGCTTGAGCTTGGGGATATAGGGAGGAGGAAAACAGGGCCCAAAGAGCACAGCGAGGGCAGACTGAATTCCAGCCCTGCCTCTCGATAGCAGAGTAGCCTTCCACAAGCACTGCCTGAGTCTGGATCTCCTCCTCTTTCAGATGGGACAGCACTACTGTGTCCTGCAGGGCTGTGCATTTCCCACGAGACGTGTGTGACACCTGCTAAGTGCTCAGAGGTTCAGGAATCCAAGCCTTTGCACTGACCTACATCTCTTCCCTACCCTTGTTATTATTTTGAGACTGAACCTTTGTAGGTCACTAAGTGGCCTAGGTTGAGTTCAAAATTGAGATCCTCCTGGCTGAGCTTCCCAGCTTAGGGACTGTTAAGAGGGACAGAGGAAGGGGCTGGGGATTTAGCTCAGCGGCACAGCGCCTGCCTGGCAAGCGCAAGGTCGTGAGTTCGGTTCCTGATACGGGAAGAAACACACACACACACACACACAAAAGAGGGACAGAGGAGGTAGAGTTGGGGATGGGAAGATCACCAATTCCCTGTGCCCGAGACTCTGCCATCATGTCTAGAGTGGTAAAAATAAAAGAGCAGCACAAGAAGCTACAATTAAAAACCAAAACAGGACACAAAAGACAAGTTGAGAGAGTGTTGATCCCATCCTCACTATGGAGAAGGTCATCAGTTCTCCGTGCCCCTGGCCTGCTATACCACATAGGCCCCACCGAGGGTAGCAGGCACCTCTCAGTGACGCTCTGTGCTGGAGTCCCAGGGCTCCTTGGGGTCCCAGCCCACTAGATGGCCCGAGTAAATACACCACTGCACACTGCCCTGCAGATAAGGCGAGGCCTGCTCCCAGGGCCAGGGTGCTGGTCCGAGCCCCCAACGGCCTCTCCTTTACTGGGGAAGGGAGGCAGCCTTTACTCCCAGTTACACTAACAACAGCTGATCTTTCCTAAGCCCAGCATGTGAATTCATGGTTATTCTTAGGTGGGGAAATTGAGGCACAAAGCTGCAGGGTCAAGACCTGGCAGGTTGGGCTGGCCCTCGTGCATCATCTGAATGTCCTTTCAGCCCTCCCTGCTCCCTCAGGGACCCCTTGGGCTGGGGTCCATCAGCAGTCAGCATCATCCAGAGAGCCCCGCATACTCTGTGCACCTTAGCCCTGGCTGTCCACAGGCCCTGGACGATAAGAAGCTGTGCAAGGCGGTAAACTGAGTCCTAACAGGGCCAAGAACTGAGCCAGGTCCCCAAGGGGCAGAGATAGCAGCTGTGCTCTCTGTCTGGGTCAGTGGGAGAGGTAGAGCTTGAGAACAGACGAGGCATGGGGAGGAGCCAGTCAGAGGGGACACACAAGGATGGCGCTGAAGCTGACGGTGAGGTGACAAGAGGCCAACCTGGGACTGCAGCTGACCGCATGGGCCTAGGGTGTCCTCCGTGGATCCTTCTGGCTCTACCTGCCAAGTTCGGGACTTCAGGAGGCCTGGTCACAGGAGGAAATGACCTGGGGACTCCCAGCACGCTCCCCCCTGTGCATTCTGTGTCTGTCCTGCACCAGCCTCCACTTGCACTCCACGCACTCCTGGAGCAGGCACGCCTGTGCCCATTGCTGGCCCTCACCCCCCCAGGAGCTGGTGAGCCTCTTCTGTGACTCTCCAGCTGAGGTGAATCCTCAGTCTTAACCAGTCAGCTGGGATTGCAGGTGAGCCAGTTAGAGGGGAGGGCACCGGACAGGCTGGGAAAGAAGGCCACCAAGTTGGGCTCCCTCCCAGCTGCCCAAGGGCTGGAGGTCACAGTGAGGTAAATACAAGGCAAGAATCCACCTGTCCCCATTCACTGGCTACCTCCTCAGGGCCTCAGCCTCAGTGGCCTCTAAGCTTCTCCTGGGAGCTGGTCCCTGTCCCAGACTGCAGCCGCATGATCCCTGCTCAAGTTTCAGACCGGATGGAAGAGAGAAACTGGCTTTAAGTCCCCTGACATAGCTCCCTTGGGATGCACCAGGAGCCTGGCCAGCCATACCAGCTCTCATCCAGGTGCCAGAGCTCCTGTGGACACAGCAGGACCCTCAAGGAGCTGTGAGTGCTGCAGAGGGTGAGCAGCACATATGTACTGATGCCCAGCCTCAACAGTGACCGTCACACGACCTCCAGGCACTGCCAAGTTCATGGGCACCCTGGGCATCTTGTTCACTGACCTATGAAAGCTCCTACATCAATGCATTGTCAGCGCAGCTGCCACCATCCCACTGAAAGAGGGCTTTGTTTGGGTCCCATCTGTCTGAGCCCCCGCTCCCACTCCACCCTCCAGAGCATCACCCCGTACCTGTCCACTCTGGGACACAATGGGGCCCTTGTGCCCCTGACCAGGTGAACCAGAGCTGAGCTGCAGAGGGATGAGGAGGGGTGCCTGGGCTGCCGAGGAGAGCAGGCTAAGGTGCCAGCCCCGAGGGTCACTCATAACCAGGGGAGCACAGGTGCATAGGAGGAGACACCTAATCCAGCCACACCAGGTGAGATGGGAGGGACGTGGCACCAACACTGAGCCTTAAAGAATAAACAGGAGGTGTCCGAGAGAGCTGAGAGTGGAGAATATTCTAGAGAAGGCAATAAGCAAGGTAAAGAGGTGAGAGGCAGGCCTGGGCAGTGACTCTCAGCTTGGATGTGTGCAGCTGCAGAATGCTGAGCCTCACCTTCTGTCCTCCCTGCAGGAACTCGAGAGCTTGGGCCAGGAACTCATGCATGTGTCTGCAGAAGCTGCGCCATCCCCCCTCCCCAGAGAGCCCCTGGAGCACACGACAGCCTTCACTCCGGCAGCCTCCTCTACCTCCTCCAGGGCTCCCTCCAAATGTCACCCTGGCTGGCACATAGCATAGGCTCAAGGGACATTTACCAAATAAAGCTCCCTCTTATGAGGAGCTTTGAGTACGCCAGGCACCACGCAAAGGGCTTGGCATGCATTTTCTGACAACTTACGGGTGGGCAATTTTTTGCCCAACATTGGGAATTGAACCCAGGGCTTTTGCAGTGAGCTATATCCCCAGCCCTTTTATACCTCCCTTTTTTAATTTCAAGATCTTGCCAAGTTGTTAAATTGTCCAGGTTGGGCTCAAACTTTTGATCTTCCTGCCCCAGCATCCCAGAGTGTTGGGATTATAAACATCCACCGCCATGCCTGGTTTAGGCATTATTATTATTACAATTGGACAGTACGTGAGGACTCAGGCCACGTAAATAACACACCGAAAGCTGCACTGTGAAGTAGAGATTTGGTTAGATTCAAAGATGTTTGGCTCTAGGACCCAGGCTCCTCGCCACCCACCCACCCTCTCCTGCTTCTCCAAGTGAACAAGAGAGGGACAAAGGCTGCCTGGCTGGGTGGAAACCCACCTGGGAGAGGGTGAACTGTGTTTCCCCTTCTGCCCCAAGTGTGCATGTGGAGGCCGTAAGTCTAGCGCTTTAGTCAGTGACCTTATTTGGAAGTACAGTAGGTGCAGGGGTAATCAGTGAGGATGAAGATGAGGATGAGGTCATACCAGAGTAAGGTCAGCCCTTAATCTAAGATGACTGGTGCCGTACAGAGAGGGAAAGCTGGACACAGAGAGGCACAGAGGGAAGGTGCCCCTACTCCCACTGGAATGTGGAAAGACAAGAAGAGGGCAGCCATCTGCAAGTCAAGAAGAGGAGCCTGGCCCACACCCTTCCTGCCACCACCAGAGCTGAGATTACAAACTTCTGTGTTGAAGCCATCTGGCCTGTGGTGCTTTGTTATAGCTGCCTTGCAAAACTAATCCACCCACCAAGGCAGGTTCCCTGCCATGTAAAGGTCGGATAGCCACACCCCAAGGGGAGCAGGCACCATGTCAAGACATCCTGGGCTCCATCAGCCTTTGGGCTGGTAAAGGAGCCCAGAATAGAACCTACTGAGCTCATAGAGCCAAGGCCAGCCAGCTGCTCAGGACAGAGCCATACCTGGCTGATGTCCCAGTCAGGTAACTACTGGCTATAAGACACTGAGGAGCGTGAGGCTCACAGTGACAGGAAGGATGACCTATAAGATAGTCTAGGCATGGTGGTGTGCACCTGTTAATCCCAGCACTCAGGAGGGAAACTGAGGCAGGAGGCTTGACACAAGTTTAAGGCCAGACTGGGCTACATACCAAGACCCTGTCTCCAAAACAGAAAAAAGAAAATGACCAGAGGAGGATGCAAGGAACTTTTACCTTACTCCCTTAGCCGTCTCTCCATCTTTTGCACCCCTTCCCAGCTCCAGGCAAACCTACTTTCCATCTGCCTATGCTCCATTGTGGACATTTAATGTAATTAGATCACATAGAATGGGTCCTTCATGTCCGGCTTCTTTCCCTTAGTGTCATGTCTTTGCGCTTCCCCCACATTATAGCTTGTATCAGAACTTCTTAGCTTTTCATGGCTGAATAATTCTCCATGGTGTGGATGTACCACAGGTTCTTTATCCATTCATCCATTGAAGGGGGTTTGGTTCTTTCCACTTTGAGCTACTGTGCACAGTACTTCGAGGATACAAGGATCCTTACCCCTAACTTATAGCTGCATGGCTGTAAGAAGAAGGTGCCGATTTGTGAAAAATACAGATTTGTGGGTCCACGTTTCCAGACAGTCTGATTGTGTGAAGCTGGATGGTGCCTGGTATTCTGCATTTTACAAGCACTGCTTCCTGGAGACTCTGATAAAGCATCTGAAACCCCCTCCAGAGACAAGCCCTGGAGCAGTGGTGGCGAACCTGTGGCATGCATGCTTCAGTGGGCTGTTTGCATCACTGAAAGCTCTAAAAGGTCCGCCATCACCCCAAGAGGGGTGGTGTGCAGACAGCCCCGCCCCACCCGCCCCAGGCAAGCCAGTGGACTAAAGCAGCTCCCCCCACAGCACTCCCTGCCTATGGCATTCAGCATCTGTCACCTGATCCTTTATTTATCTTTCACAAGAGCCTCACATTTGCGGGGACACAGTCCCCTTACATCATCTCCTTTAATCCTCTCCACAGTTTTTGGCGTGCCTGGAGCAGGCGCTTAGTCTCCCATCTTCTGACGAGGAAGTAGAGACCCACACAGGGTCTCCAGCTTGTGTGTGGGCACCCAGCCAGGACCCGCAAGGTAGGGTCCTTGGGCCTCTGGCCTGAGGTGCGGAGTCTTTGTTCTGCTAGGAGCCAGAGCTCTCTCCCTCTGCCCTCTCCTTTCTGCTGCCCACACCACAGCTGCCAGCTCCTCTTTCCCCACCTGTGCTCGACCCGCCCTGCAGACCTGGGCCCCTACCAGCCTTTCTGAAAGGCCTTCGCGGGGCTCCACAGGACCCCAGGAGCAGGGCGCTGGCAGTTAGGCTGTCAGCAGAGAAATGCTAATTACGGGATTATACACATTGTTCGTTGATTTAAATCCTGCAGACAAACACGACCTGGAAAGCCAGGAGGGGGGTCAGCAGGCCTGGCTTTGTGGGCAAGTCGGGGGTTTGTTTTGGAGCTCCTTCTCCAGCCTGGAAACCCCCAGCCCCAGGGGCCTTCCTCCCGCTCAGCCTCCCCAGGAGTCTGGCTTCCAGGTTCACTCCCACCCAAATGCTGTTAAGCAGGGAGCTCCTAGCAGTCTTCCAGGAGACAGTCCTCAGGGAGATGGCTGTGTGGGACCGTACCAAGAGCCGTGATGAAGGAAGAGAGATGCTGGGTTTCACCCAACTCTGAAACCATCCTGTGTTTCAGCACTAGAGATTAACGCGCACTCTCCAGTGCACAGGTAGTGTAAAGCGCTGCACACCCATGAACCCTTACCGCAGGACCTTCTAACTAAGGCATCCTCATTACCGTACCAAATTGAACTGGGGCCCTGGGACCTCAGTCCCACAAGACACCTGACCAGCCCCTTTACAAATCCAAACCCCAGCTCCAGCTTCCCTAGAATCAAGGCACACTGGCCTCATTTTGCTAGAGGAGTACCCACCTTGGCCCAGTTCCAGATGCCCCCAGGAGAACAATTCCTCATCCTAAAGAAGGCTGCCATAGGACCCCTCACCCTGGTCCAAGCCACAGGGTGACTGAGTCCTCCTCTCAAAACCCATGGATAAGTGGGCTGAGGCAATGCCCACTCCCTACTGACCACCAAGAGGCCAGTTCCTCGGTAGTGCATTCCAGGGTGCATCGTTCAAGGCTTCCCTTGGGCCTAAGACGACACCAGCAAGGAAAAGTGGCTCCCTTATCACCCAGCGGAGGCAGGAAGCCGGCTGGGGGAGCCCCCAGCCCTGGCCCACGGGCCATGACAGCCATAACCAAGGGAACAAGCAGGTTGATAGCCCAAGCCATCGTCTTAGAGGAGGCAGAACCCTGTGCAGGCCGCCTGGGCCCAGCCACACCCTGGCTGGACAGATACACCACAGCCATGTTGTCCTGGGCAAGCTCTCAATACCCCACTGACTGCTGGACCTCAGGTCTTAGGAGGAAGGAGGAGAGACTCCACCGGCAGGCTGGGCCCTCAGTGCAATTGACCAGGCCTGGAGCCTGAGGATCCCTCAGGGCCAGGGCTGTAGGCGAATGTGGGGTCACTGGGGAGGGCTGATCAGAATGGGGGGCAAGGAAAATAGATTGCCCATCTTGGTTCTTGGATTGGTGTGTCTTAACCTCCTCGTTGCCATGGTCTTCTTGTCAGGGGGACAGCTTGCTTTTCAAGCACCTCAGCCTGGCATGTACTGTAGCCACTCTCAAACTGCAGGCCTGGGTCAGGAGGGCTGGGCCGGGCCCTAGGGCACATCCATCTTTGAGCCCACTGGGGACCAAAAGAGCTCAGGTCAGAAGGCGCCACTCTACGCCTCTCCACTGACACAGGAGCAGCCCTGACAACACGGCTCAGTTCGTGCCCAGCTGGAGGAGTAGCTCAAGGATCAGGCCAGATGCAGCGCAGGAGCCCCTCCTCCGCCCGCGGGGACAGAATGGAGCCAGTGTCTGCCGGGTGTGGGCACACAATGGGCCGTCCCCTAGACAGGGAGTAGTGTTCCCAACAGTTAATATCTATCAGCCCCCATGCCGGCTGGGAGCCAGGAGCAGTGAGAAAGGGAGATCATTGTCCCAACCCGAGGACCTGATACCCTTCCTAGGGGATAAAGCGGATGGAGGTTTCTTCTCCGGGCTGTGCGGCTCTGCCAGCTCGTCCCGGGGCCCAGCACTGGGTGAGCACATGTGTAGGTCAACCCCCAGAGGCCCTTTAAAGAAAGCATGACGACTGCTGTCCCCACTTGCAGAGGAGGCAGCTGAACAGCAAGAAACTCTCTTCCAAGTCTGCATCACTGAAAATGCAGAAGCCACTTTGTGCTGCTGTTTATGACCCTTTGTCCACACTGCAAGGCGCTATCCTGACTTCTCTGTCTCACAAGCATATCCCATCACCCCATGAACCCTGGCACTCTGGAGAAGTCCTGGCACCCAGCAGCCATGAAGCAGAAGCCAGAGCCCCTCACTGTCAGGCTGTCACATCACTGTACCAGCATGTTCCCCGAGGGCACCAATCTGTCTCTGATGCCCCTACTTTGGTACCTCAGTCCTCCACCACCTACCCAAAGAAACACCTTGGCTGTGCCTACAGAGAGTGTGGTTTGACCCTTGCCTGGGTCTCTAGCTCATCCCACAACTCTTGCCCCTGGTTGGAGCCACACTGCCCTTCTCTCCCTCACCCAATTGCCTCACCATCCTTCCCACCACAGGGCCTTTGCACATACAACTCTCTTTTGAATATCTCTCCTTGCACACACTCCCAATTACCTATTCTTTACCCGTTATTTCAACTCAAGCACCAACTCTTGAAGGATCCCCCCCTGACCTCCAGGACTAGGTCAAGGCCCCCCTTACTCTCCTGGCAATCCTTTGCACTTCTTGTCAGCCCTCGTTAGTTATAAACTCTTTTATTCACTTCTTGATTGTATTACATTTTCTCACGCTGGACTCCAGGTAGTGGAGGAAGACAAGGTTGTTTTTTCCTTTTCCTGTTTACTGTGATTTCTTAGCTCTTCTCATGGTCCCCAACATGTCATGGGTACTTGATAAATATTTACTGCCTTGTCCTTTAATCATAGTGACACAAGGGCTGAGAGAACCGACAGCCAAGGACTTCGCCAAACATGAACACGCTGGAGATGAGCTCTAGCTCTGACCATATAAGTACCTGCTCTTTGGGCAGCAGACATAGTAAGGTGGGGAAGCCATGGGAGATACGTGATCAGGAGCCACCCAGGCCATGAAAGCTCTCAGCTTTCCTTGGACCAATCGAGGAAAGCTTTCTGGAAGAAGAGTCCCTGGCTTTGATGTTGGCAGTCAAGAGTGCAGGGAGGAGGGGAGGATGAGGCTGTGACAGCTCGGCCTGCCCACCGGCCGCCTAAGCAACCGGAGCAGGTCCCCGTCCTGCAGCTCCTGCCTGCAAACCCACATACCTGCTCATCCACCTTGTGGGCAATGAGGGTGGCTCCTTCCTCCAGCTCTGCCACACTGATGGGCCGGACCCTGAGCGCCACCTGGGAGGGAAGATCAGACCCCCGGAGTGAGGAGGGGAAGGCCATGCTAGGCTCAGGGAGGATGAGAGGGTCTCAGGATTCTGCCTCCACGCACACCCTCAGCTCCCCAGTGTCCAGCCACGCCAGCGCCTTGGTCTTAAGGAGTCACACTCACTGGCTAGGTCGGAAGGCAGCAAGTCCACAGGGTGTCAGGCTCTGTCTGAGTCTATGAATCTCCCCAGGAGCCCATGCCTCCGGGACAGCCCCAGGGGACAGAACTGTCTGCCTCACTCACACACCCAAATTAAACACTTGCAGCTCCCTTGGGCTTGAACTTGAAGCTACGGGGGTGCGGGTGCTGTCAGCGCCTTTGTGAATGAGGCACTTCAGCTGAAGACACTGCACAGGGCTGGGGGCTGTGATGTGGGGTCTGCAGCAAGCACAGACGTGCAGGTATCTTCCCTTCATCATCCTAGCAGCCTGTGACCACATGCCTGACCCGGAAAGTGTCACCCAGAGCTGCCTCCTCTGTCTATTCCTTAGCCAGAGAAACAGTGGGTCTTCCTCCTGAGCTCAGGCTCCCCAAGACTGGAGTAAAGGAGGCAGAGGATTTTTTAGGCTGATCAAAAGGACATATGCTGGGCATATGGGTAGCACTAAGGGGCTTGCCCTTTACTTTCAGAGGCAGCTGCATTCCGTGTCTGTCACATCACCTTTGTCTGACCCCATACAGGAGGGCAGGGCCCTTGGGTTGGCCCGGCATCAAGCCGTGCATGTGCACCCCACTTATTTGGAGTAAATCATTTTCTCTTTTCCTTTTTGACAGTACTAGGGCTTGAACCCAAGGGTACTCTATCACTGAGCCAAACAGCCAGCATTTTTTATTTCTTATTTTGAGATAGGGTCTTGCTAAGTTGCCCAAACTGGCCTCAAACTTGTGATCTTCCTGTCTCAACATCCCGAGTAGCTGGGATTACGGGTGTGCACCCCCACGCCTTGGCAAAATGTTTGCGAAGAAGCCACTTCCACTGTCAGAGAGCATGTTCCAGAGCCTGGGGACTGGGTCCAAGGCTGCCCATTGGAGAAGCAAGGGCACCCTACAGAGGTGGAGAATGCGCATAGTAATGCTCTAGTCACGACACCGCCACTTGCAACAGCCAAAGGCCCATTCCCAGGTCTCAGAAGTCAGCGGTGGGGCAAGAAAGACCCTCACCCACCTACCCAGGCCTAGCAGAGGCCTTGGGGTCACTGAGTCTCCCCCCTCACTATTCCAGCGTGGCTCCACTGATGACCAGGAATCTCCACCTTCAGCCTCTACCTGTCCCTGCCCTTCCTCCGACTTCCTCCTCTGTTCCAGGCCCCAGGGCTCCAGCAGTCCTGAGTTGGCTTCCCACACTTCTCTAAAGTACTGAGTCCTGACTTGGACAGTAGCAGTGTGGCAGCCCATGAACCATCCACCTCCAAGGCCATGCCGGCCCCCCTGGCGCCAGGGGCTCCTGTCTTCCTGGGGTTGCCCTCGGCGCCTTCCAAGCTCCAGATGGGCCAGGTGGGGTCCCCTCTGGTTCACCTCAGGGCAGGGGTCAGACCTCCCAGGATCAGACAGCAAGCTCCAAGCAGACACTCCTTGGGCTTTGGAGTGAGGTCCCCTGGGGTGTGGGGCTGAAGTCAGGCTAACTTTCGAGACTAAAAAGAAGGCCAAGTACTTTCCAGACACCTGTTCCCCAGCACTTGGGCAAAGGTGCTCCGGACTGTCTCAGCCCCTGCCCCTTGCTGTCCTCTTAGTGGACACTGCTGGAGGCTGACTGAGGTCGTCGGGTTTCAGGGGTCGTGGAGGGGCAAGGAAGAGCTCCAAGGAGACTTACCATGAGTTGCTGGTCCTTGGAGTCCCCGCTGTCCTTCATGCTTGCAGCGGGTGGAAGGGCTCAAGCACAGCCGAGCGCACCTCCACTGGGTCTCCTTGGGTGGTTGCTGTCTCCTTGGGCCGCTGCCGTCGCTTTGCTGCTGCTGCTGCCGCTGCCGCCGCTCCTGCTGCCTGACAACCTGAAACCAACAACGCGCCCGCCACCAGGCGCTGACCAGGAGGCGAGGCCTGGAGGGCGGGGCCTGACCCTCCCCGCCCCTTGCATCGCCCGCCCGCGCTGCCGGGAGCTGGCCATCTCCACCAGGGGCCGGCAGTCTCTGACAGCTCTGGGGCGGCTGCCCGCACCTCCCGGCTTGCACCGGCGAGACCCCAGTCCCCAGGGTGCACCTGCCGGCCCCATCGCTGGCCGGCAGCAGCTGTCCCTCCAGCCACCACTTCCTACACCTGCAGTCTCCTCTCCAGGGCAGCAGCTGGCAGCCCTGGGGTTCCATGCGCGCTGCAGGCATCGTGGCTGTGGCCATTGCCTCTGGGGTGGGTGCAGACACCCAGTGCCCAGTGGCAGAGGGCTTGGGAGGGTAAGGAGTTGTCCTGGCTGCCCACCCTGATGTTGTCCTTTGCCCTGACTGCCTCCTCAAGTGTCGCGGGGGAGTGTCTGGATTAGCTGGAATGTGTGACAGAAGAGGCCACATCAGGGTTCCCTACTAACAAAGGAAGCCCTGCCCCTAAATCCAGAAAGTAGCTCAGGGTGCCCTAGCCTAGCTACCCGCAGAGCCTATGTTGTTCAAGGAGGTGTAAGTCAGAAGCTGCAGTCTGGCTGCCTGGAGTGATGGTGCATAATTATCATCCCAGCAGTAAAATGTTCAAGCCCAGCCTGGGCAATTTAGTGACTTAATGAGATACTGTCTCAAAATTTTTAAAAAAATAAAAAATTTTTAAAAAGTGCTGGGGATGTAGGTCATTGCAAAGGCCCTGGGTTCCATCTCTAGTATCACATTAAAAAAAAAAAAAAAGAAAGCAGCTGCAGCCTCCATTCTTTATTACAATGGCGACAATTACTCGATGATGCACTGGAGAGCACAGTGATGGAAAGATTCCTGGTCCCCGGAGGCCCCAAGAAAACAGGATTCTGGTCCCAGCTCTGCCTCTAACTTGCCAACCACCTGGAGCAGGGTTTCCCTGTGCCCTGGGCCTTCGTTTCCTGAATGGTGTTAGAGTACTCCCTGATTCTCGGGGTCCATCTTTTGTGTCCTCTGCTCCCACTGGAGCTGACCCCAGGACTCCTGCAGTGTCCTGGGGAGAGAGGCTTAGTGGGGCTCATCTCCCACGGAAGGAGCTAGGAAAGGTTGTGCTGACGTCCCATGGGACTGTCCCAGACGCCTGGCACGCACCCAGAGGCAGACAGTGATGCCAGCTGGAGCCCTGGGACTGGCATCCCAAGCTGCCCTAAGAGCTTGTGTTGGAGATAGTTATTAATACACAGCACAGGAAGCAGCTTGATAAATACATAAACCCAGGAAAGCTTGACGGTAACCACACTTTCCTGCAGAAGTCCCAGGTTTTGTCCCATCCTCTGCCCGGGCTGCCCCAAGGCTGATGGGTTGGTGCTGCAGTGAGATCAGGTACATCTTTTTTTTTTTTTTTTTTTTCTGGTACCAGGAATCAAACTCACGACCTCGGGCTTGCCAGGCAGGTGCTGTGCCACTGAGCTAAATCCCCAGCCCCTAATAATAAGCAGTTCCCAAGGTTTTTTTTTTTTTCTTTCCCGTACCAGGAATCAAACTCACAACCTTAGGCTTGCCAGGCAGGCGCTGTGCTGCTAAGCTAAATCTCCAGCCCCTGAGATCAGGTATATCTTGAGGATGTGTGGAGCTTGTGTTTTAGAGCCAGAATCCAGGTGGATGAGCCACGGAGGCCTCTGGTCACTTGGGCTGTGGCTGTTTCTCTTTTTCTTTTTTATTCTTCTACATGGATAAGCCCCACCCAGAAGGGCCCATTGTGATTGATGGGAACAATAAGAAGCTTCTAGAGCAGCTCTCAGCCCATTTACATGGACATTTATCATAAAAGTCGTCTCTACTCTCAAATAGGTTCCTCTTGACTTATGATTTTAGCCAGTGAAACCACCATTTCCCCTATATCTACATCTTAGTCATTTTTGCTTCCTCTTCTCCCCCATCCTCTACATTCTTCTGCCACATTTCTCTTCAGACTCCATATCAGACTCTCCTCCTCTTGTTCACAAACCTCTCAAGTCCTGACAGCCATGGTGAGCTCCAGGAGGAAGGGACCTGCTGGGCTTGTGCATGCCGACTGCATGCTCTTGGCGCTGGAGTTCTGTTCTGGAAGCTGATTCTGTCCCATTGTTCCTGTCCCTCCTGTCTGTCCCTACTGCCACTGCCCACAGGCTTGGACTGTACCGTCTCTCATCCAGATACAGTGTGCCTGGCTCTTTCTCTCCTGTTTTACCCTTTTCCCGTCCACTTTCCACATCATCACCCTTCTGAGACAGAGTGCTGTCATTACCTTACTTGAAACCCTGCCATGCCTCCCCACTGCTTCCTAATGGAGTCAGCCTTTAGTCTGTGGCCCTTCCTGCTTCTTCTTGGCTCACCCTCTCCTGCCACCCCTGCTGGGACAGGCCAACCACGTGCAAGTCCTCTGGATGAGCAACTCCTGTGTCTCACTCTTGGGCTTTGCCCCTGCTGCTCTGTCCTGGAGCGTCCCCTCTCTGGGCTTGTCTGGCATCTCCTTCAAAACTTATCTCACGTGTCATTTCCTCTTTCCTTTAGAGAACTGCCTGTCCTCTAGGTCATGTCAGTCCTCTAGTCCATGCAATTCTGGTGGAGCTCATCAGAGCATCCGTCTCACCCCAGCCATGGCAGGGGGCCTGTAACACAGGCATGGCCTTGGTCACAGTGATCAGCCCCAGAAGATGGATATGGTCAAGACTGGCCAATCAGAGCCTTTTCCTGGGATGCAGCTGCACTGGGAAGGAGGACCTCTGTTGCACCTTTAGTATTACTGCTGAGATGATTGAAGGTTGAGGCCTGGGACCATGTCTAATCCTTCCCCCATCCAATTGAAGGAGCTGCACCGTCACAAAAGCATGAGATCAACTCAAGCAAAGAAGCTGTACAGAGGGAGAAATAGATGACATCACATGAGTTCCTGGATCCAGTCACACCTGAGACCAGCTATGCTTCAATCTTCTGAGTGTCCTGACCCCTCCAAAAATATTTATACATATATATA